GTCTATATTCTAGAAGGAGAGACATGCTTTAAAAAATAAATGTGTTTTTGTGTACAGAACAATAAATCTGGTCAAGGGACAGAATGTGGTGGTCACTGGCTCTAATTTAGATGAGGTGCTCAGAATAGACCTCCCTGAAGTAGTGGCACTGGAACAGAGACTGGAATAGCATGCTATATACAATGAGCATCCAGGGATGGGATCAATAGGCGGGAAAGTTCTGAGGTGGGACCCTGACTTCTGCATGGTGGGACACAAGGAAGAGGCCCATGGGCTGGGAACACAGTAAGTAAGGGAGAGACAAATAGATGAGATGGCAGAGAAGGCAAATTAGGTCCCATAAATTTCCCTACATCCTAGCCAATGGGATGCGGGACCCTGACTGTTATTCTAGGTAACATGGGAAACCACTGGAAGGCACTGAGCAGGAGAGTGTTATGTTTTGTCTGTCATGTTATAAAGAATCATCTGGATGCTGTGGCAAAAATGGACCATAATACCTAATGCTACTAATGTTAGGTCACAGTCACTCACTGGTTTAGAGGTGACCATGCTACTGAAGGTCAGTTATAACTGTGTCTAGTATCTTCACCCCAGAAACTGAGGCAATGTAATTCAAACCTGTCCCTATGGAAAATCTTAAGATGAGCTATATTAATTGAGCAGAAATGTGAACTTAAAATTGTACATTTTTAAAGCTGTCATGGTACAAAGTCAGACTTCTGTTCTGGCAGAAGGCACCCTAGGCCATCTTCAAGCATCCCAAACCCTCACCTTCCCACTGAGATGGACAAGGAGATGTGACCAAGTAACAGCATCACAGGAATAGACCAACTGTAGGGTGAGCTGGTGAGTATTCATTTACCTCAGGTTAGTCAGGAGGGAAGAGGGAGAGGGAGGGCAGGCAGAGAACACAAAATCCCAGGTGATGGGAGGCAAAGTGGACCCCTAGAAATTACCACGGCAGGCCTGATTCTGTACAGATGTGATCCTGTTCAACTGGAACAACAACACTGAGAAAAAGGAGACTCAAATATGTTTAATAAGCATCCCAAGGTCATGTAACTGATGAGTGACAGAGCAGGCATTTAAGCTGGGCTTTTTTCCCCTCCAAAGCTTGTAATTTTTCATGCAACGTCTAGTTGTGCTGATGGTGTTGGCACAGTGACAGCGAGAAGACTGTCCTAAATAAATGTGAAAATAAATCTTGGGCCATTCATTACACGAGCTATATAAGCAAGCCATCATCCCTGTGGCAGGACTGAGCAGCACCAGAGAAATCTGCTGCTCATAAAAGGGAGCATCATTCTAGTTTATGGTGGCTTTACCTGCCAGGTTGGAAGAGTGGGGTATGGAGGAGGAAGTATCCCAAAAGTTTTATTTAAGTCTTCCTTAGAGCTGAAAAAACAAAAAAGGGAAACGGAACTCTAGCTAGCAAAAACAAAACAAACAAACAAAATATGTAGGTTGAGCTCTCTTTTGCATTCAGAAAACATTTATCATTAGTTTTAACCAATTGTTATTAAATCTCTAACTTGTTTGGAATTCTACAGAGAACCCAAATTGCAAAATGTTTTAAAAATATGATTTGCTGCCCCAGTCTGCCTCCATAAATACTATCCTCACAGGTGAGAATATATTATCTCATACTTTCATTCAACGAATGTTTATTGAGCATCAGTTATGTGCCAGGCACCAGGGTAATTTGGCCGAGAAATTCCTAAATCCTGCTGGTATTCTTTCTGAAGCAACCAAGTCCTCCTGATTCTTAATAACAAATACCTGACAGAAAAGTCCCCAGTTAAATTATATAGAAAATCTACTGCCTTTGGAATCTAAAAATGTATGCTATAGGGAAAAAAAAGAAAAGAAAAAAAACACAGGACATACAGATTATTGCCCTTCATTTCTCAGTAGTCTTGCATCTTGTTCTCATTCTCTGAAGTCTGGTTATTATTAAGTGGAGAGCATTCTCAACACACTACATACAGCATATTAATTTCCACTGGCAAAGTGTCAACTAGAATAACCGTTTTTTATGTGTGGTTGGCATGTATGCATATGGAGGTTGCTAAATCTCCTCGTGTGTTCTGAAACTAAGACGGGGCTGGGTGTGGAGAGAGGAGGACCTCATCGTGGACTGGTGTTGCCCATCTGGCTCCGATATCACCTCCAGAATGAACATTTGGAGGCCCTCCAAGGAAACAATCGCTGTGACCAGTTCTCAGTTGAGCCTCCAGTCACGCTGCTGGAATTATAGAGGCCAAGGAGAGCATGGGATTTTCTCAAAGACCATCACTGTATTGTTAAACCAGGGTGCGTTCCCTCCACCAGGCTCTGCATGTCGTGGACACTAATCCTCGTGCCGGAGGAGAATTGAATCAGGCCAGGCTGACCAAACTGCCAAGCTAGGCAGCCCACATTAGTCAGAGACCTCCCTGGGGCACCAGATATGCTGAGCTGAGAACTTTGCAGCAAGGACCACCACAGAGCTGGCAGGGAGCTCTCACATATTAAATGATGAAATCACCGCACGGAATTTTAGAGCTGGGAGGGAACTACATCAACCTTACCTTTTACAGATGAGGAGATAGCCATCCAGGGAAAGTAGGTGCTTTCTCTAAAAACATCCCATGGTCAAAAGGCAAAGTCAGGCCTGGACTTCACGATCCTGGAAGCCCAGACCCAGCTGTGCAGGTAGGCAAACTCCCTGGTGGTGTATGAGCCAGAGCTGTATTATCAATGGGCCACTAATGTGTTAGCTGATAACATGTTTAGACCTCTCCACAGGTGCTTTTCTCTCCCAACTATTTTTTTTTTTTAAATAAACTCAAACTTGTATAAAAGTTGTGCATTTAGTCCACAGAACTGTTTTCCCTAAACCAGTGGTCGGCAAACTCACTAGTCAACAGAGACAAATATCAATAACACAATGATTGAAATTTCTTTTGAGAGCCACATTTTTAAAACTTAAACTTCTTCTAATACCACTTCTTCAAAATAGACTCGCCCAGGACTTGATATTTTGTGGAAGAGCCACACTCAAGGGGCCAAAGAGCCCCATGTGGCTAGCGAGCCACAGTTTGCCAACCACAGCCCTAAACTATTTGAGAGTAAGTTGCCCAATTAAAATAATTCAACTAAGCAGAGTTGTCTTCTGTTGGGATTTCATGGTAAATAAGAACCATTTTCAGCAGGGAAAGAACTGACGATTTCAAGAGAAGCCGCTCATCCAGTCCTCCTACCAGGTAACATCTGGGGCATAGGATATGGAGGAGTGAGTGGGAAAATTCACTGCACTTGGAAGGAGACAGCATTGTAGCTGGGACTCGAAAGATGAGTGTGATTTCTAGTAAGCATACCATACGTGAAACGGTGTATCTGGTGGGAATGATGACAAAGGCGTGGAGATGTAAAGCACAGGAAGCTCAGCGTGCACCGAGTCCCCCAAAGATGGGCAGGGCACCGAGGAACCTGGAGGAGCACCACAGGGCCATGATGGTTCTGCCAAGGAGGAGGAGAATTTTGTAATATCATCCTGTGGCAATGTGGGACTTTCAATTACAGAGAACCAAGGGCTGGGGATAAAGAGACAAAAAGAAGGCAAGGGTAATATAATTACACCCCAGTGAGACAAAGACAGAGCAGGGTCTATGGACAGATGAGGTAATCAAGTCAGAAATATTGATGTTATATTAAGTTAGAAAACATGTAATACAGTCTTCAAATTGTTTCTTGAGTTACTTTTATCTGAAAAGTTAGATAACGTGTAAATATCCTACTTAAAATTGCAACTCCACCCCAGACTCCTGTTCCCCTTCAATCTCTTTACTCTTTCTTTCCTCCATAAAAACTGTTAATATTACCACTAACATTCTATATAATTTACACTTGCGATTGTGCATTGTTGATTATCTGTCTTTCCCCACTGGAATATGAGCTTCATAAGGAGAGACAACTTTGTTTAGTTTGTTCATTGATTATCCCAAACACCTCACTGCCAAAGACATACTAGAGGTACAACTAATGTTGCTAATCAGTGAATAAGCACACACATGCATCGGCACACTCCTAGCAGCACTTCAAGGTAGACAAATGACATAGCATACACTAGAGATAATGTCAATGGTACTTAGAGATAAAATAAATATTCTCTATTAAAATACCTATACATGTACCTTAATGGTGGAGGGTCAAAGTAAATAAACAAACAATAAAAAACTTCACATGCAGACAACAGTATGGTGATTGCAAAAGGGAAGGGAGGAAGCAGGAGAGGGTAAAGGGGGTATAAATGGTGATGGAAAGAGACATGACTTGGAATGGTGAACACACGATACAATATACAGATGACGTATTATAGAATTGCACACCTTAAACCAAAGTAATTTTATTAACCAGTGTAACCCCAATAAATTCAATGTTTTAAAGAAAAAAGAGAAAAAGAATAAAAGGGTTTCATGATTCGTAAACAGCATATAACACTAGTCCAGGAGACTGGTACATATTTAATACATATTTTTTTGCATGTACTAAAACCTTGTATTGTCTGCCTGAAGCACAGTGGTTAAGCATCAACTTAGGAACCAGGAAGTCACGATTCAATCCCCAGCGAGAGCACATGCCCTGGTTGTAGGCTCATTCCTCAATAGGGGTGCTTAAGAGGCAGCCAGTTGCTTTTTTTCTCTCATCATTGATGTTTCTACCTCTCTCTCCCTTTTTCTTCCTCTCTGAAATCAATAAAATATATATTTTTTAAAAAAATACAAAAAACCTTGTATGCACTAAATATACTTGTAGAGAGGGCAAGAAATTGATTATAGGAAGGGTGCTGCAGTTGTGAAATCATATTATGACAGAGCTCATGACAAGGTTTGCTAAACAATATTTAGAACTTGGTCAGACCGGGCACTATGAGAGATTTTTAAACATATTTTATCATAATCAGTCTTTGTAATAGTACATTAGCACTCTAAGGTATCACTATTTCTATTTAACAGATGAATAAACTGAGACTCAGAAAGGCAACTGACTTGCCCTGTGACATAGCTGGAACAAGTCCATCTGATGTTGGTGCCTGTGTGCTTCCCACTATGCCAAGAAAACTAAAACATTAACAAGGAAAAGAAGATTTTCGTAAGCATTTATTCTGGACCAGACACTGTACTACTCTCCTTGCAATAACTCTATAAGATGTTTAACATTAGTTTACCCATTTTACAGATGAGAAACCTAGTCCAGAGATTTGAAATAAATTGTTCAAGATCACGTCTAGAAAGTTCTACAACTGGGATTCAGACTCATACTTGATAGACTTGAAAGCCTGTGCTCATAACCACTACACCATATTGCCAAGTGGGAAGCTATGATATTGCCAGATGGAACAGGCTGCGGTTTTGCTAATTTAGGGAAAAAGGAACTAGCAACGATGCTTTCCACAAGGCAAGTACAAAGAGATAAACATTTAGCAAATTAATGCAGTAGTTTGAAAAGTAGTTTGAGCAGATGCCATGTGGAAGTTACCAGAAAAAACATCAGTTCTTTAAGCCAAATGGTATTTTGAGAGCATGAAGAGAATGTAATTATAAGATTTTTAATCATAAAAACAAATCCATGTACATAAACACTTAGCTAGAAGAAGAATAGGGCATATTGCTGGGAATGTTACGTTAAACATCTCTTTTATTAATTAATAAGATACTGGTCATCATAAAATTACAAGTGCTCAAACACAGTAATAATATTAGGATTTGATATACAATCTCGGATGTTAATGTTTATAAAGAAATATGAGTCTTCCCATTCATGTCTCCCAGTGCAGGGTCCTGCGAAGCCAAGACCGAAGCAGAGGATGTCATCTGTGGCCATCTGAGGCCCTCCAACTCCTACAGCAGAGCCAGGAACTGTGGGAGAAATGGGAATCTGAAGGGAGCTGGAATCGGTTGCCAAAACAAGGATGCGATGACAGAGACCAACAACCACCTACAGCAGATGTTGGGCATTTCATGGGGGCCAGCTCTCCTTCTTGCTCTTATCTGCATACTGGGACGTGCAACATCTAAAGGGCCAGGAAGTGAAGGGAAAGAACTTAAGAGTTCACAAAGAACACTGACATATATGAGTTATCTTACCAGACTACGAATTATTCAAAGGCTGTGCGTAAAGCTAATTCATCTTTGTTACCCCAGCTCCCAATGTGGAGGCTAACAGGTTGCTCTGCAAACATCTGTTAACTAAATGAGACTAAACGATTGGGCTCATGGATCAAAAGATTTACAAATTTTTTTTTTTTCAATTTAAGGTGTGGCTTGGACATTCCACAGGAAAAATAAAAACAACACAATTATTTAAATGATAAAACATTTTTAACTATCTAGATGGAGCCCAAGTCTTTCCTGCCATATTAGGAGATGATTTTAAAAGTTTGTCTAACATGAAGCATGACCTGCGTTAGCTGAATTTTAGGTATAGTCTCTCACACCGTGGACTTAGTAGGTGTCTGTGCATGACAGTGTGGAAGGAATCTGACACATTGGCACTGCCCATTATGGAAACTAGAAGCACAGAGGGAGGAGAGCTCTCAAAGGAAGAGCAATCTTTGCTGTTGAATAGTGAGGAGCTCTCAGTCTCTTCCCACTCGGCCTGGCTTGCTTACTTTATGGAATAAAAAGCATGACTGCTTTTCTCATTCTTTTGTGTTTTTTCACCAGCAATCAACATCTCTGCCATTGCCCTTCTGAATGCCATGCTCGGATGGAGGATGAAAGTCTTTGTCTTTATTGTACTGAAAAAAACAAAAACAAGACAAACTTTTAAAATCATCTCCTAAAGTTAGAAGTGGAAAAAAGCTGCAAACAACAACGGAACCAAAACAAAAAAAGCAGAGAAATGCTTGACAGAATGCGCTCTGACAAATCTTTTTTTTTTCTTTTTCTTTTTTTGTCTCTAGCATTTTGCTGGTCCTTTGCAAGTCGATCTTAGGAAAGTTATGTGTTAAAAAGGCTGTACGTTATCAGGTACATGATACATAATTGGTACTCGGTAAATATTTGTTGAATTAATTAATGAATCCTAGCTTCAGCAGCACCTGCCAGATGTGAAGATTCAGCATCATTGTTAAAAGGTCTCCAACTCTGTCACCTGGCTTCTGTCACACCAAACTTTGCTGATTCTCATTTTTCCTCTCTACTCAGTCTCCTTCATTGACATTCTCTCCCTCTGTTCACTCAAAAAGGCTGTATCCCTTAGAGGACTGAACTTAGCTTCCTTTCTTCTTAACTGCTCACATTCCACATGAACATGCTAATGAAGTTTAATCTGGCCTTAACCACAGCCTCTGTGATAACGATCCCCATGTCTCCATTGCCAGCCAGGACTGTCCCCTGAGCTTCAACTCCAGAACATTCCCTACTTCCGCCATTCCCTCTCTCCTCTCTCCTGCTGTCCTTCCCCAGGTCCTCATCAGGAATAGTGCAATGTCTCGTGTCCTCTACTTCCAGTCTTGCCTTTCTCAAATCCATGCCTCCCAGGCTGATAAACCTACTAATTACTCACCTTAGGACTTTCAGTCCTCCATCCCCCACCACCACCTATAAGATGAGGCTTCACCTCTTCAGGATGGACTACAAGCATCTCCAGGATTGGTCTCTGCCAACTTTTCTACCCTCATCTCTCCACTCTCTATCTTGTTTTTTATTTACTAGAAACTCAAGCTGCTCCTTGTCACCCATACACTGCATGCTGTTCCTTGCCACCTTCGCCTTCCTTGTTCCCTTCCCTCTGACATACTGCCTTTCAAAGACTCAGTTTTACTAGTCCCTCCCCCAGGAAACTCTACCTGACTTCCTCACTACCCCTTATATACTAGGTCAGGTCCCCCTTAGCCATGCTACCCCGATCAACACATTTTGCTATCACTCAGTTTATAACACTGCATTAAAATAATCCATGAACAATTCTTCCTCCTCCAACAGAATCTGTTCTAAAAGAAGAATAAGACCAGATTTTATTTAGCTTTGGGTACTCAGCCCATAAAGTGGTATCTGATACAGAGGCTGAAAACCTAAATAAGTATTTGTTAAGTAAAACTGAACTGATGGCTGCACCTGTGTGAATTCATTAGCCTCTCAACAATCGCTGAGTGCATAACTATTCACACCATAATCCATTATCCATTTCCTAAATTCCCCTGAGGAGGAAGAAGCTTGACCGCTTAATGTTATTTAGAGGCACAACTGCTTCATTGATATTGCCAAACTGGGTCTCAAGTAATGAGAAAAAAAATTTCATTTTTCTGAGCTGAGGAGGCTGAGGTTTACAAATGGTGCTAGAATCCTAGCCACTTGGCCTTCCACATTTAGGGTCACACCACCTATTGTTATAAATGTGTTGACTAATTAAACATACTCTGAATGATAGTGTCACAGGCCAGAAGAACAAGTCTGCCACAGGTAGGTTTCCCATTAACCCCACCGGAGTTTCCATTTCTCTGTCTTTACACTGTGTGCAAAAATAAATTGCGGATTTTGTCGATGCAAGCACATTCTCAAACAACTAGAAACTACTCCAAACACCAACAGCCATGTGAGAGGGAAAAAGATGAAATGTAGTCTGTGGGAAGTAAATTCTTGATTATCTTGGAGGTAAAGGGTATATGCTTTGCTGCACTCTCAAGAGCTACAGATAAGAAGGCACAGCGGTGTTTTACTCCTGCGTCAAAGGCAGAGCTGGCAATTTACGGTGCAGAATAAACAGATGGAGAAAAAGAGGAAGGTGGTATCTCTGCTTTTTAACTATACTCCTCATGGGGCATCATGAGGAGAGGAAATAATAAGTATACCAACTGAGCGGGTTGTTTTCTTGCCTCTTGGAAAGCTTTATAGGCCAGTTGTTTACTGCAAACTTTTGGTGAAAGGCTAGTTTAAGTATATCAAAGCTTTATGGCCTGAGTGGGAGCCATCACAGGCGGAAGCTGACCTGACTGTTACTTAGAAGGAGGCCATAGGCTACTATTCAAGAAATAATAACGTTACCATTGTGAAGAGTGGCTGGGATTGTCCTAAGAGATCATTTTGAGTCATCAAGGCACTAGCTTTCTGTGGCCGCAATATTCAGGGACTTTATGTGTGGTGATCCCATTGAAAGAAAGAGAAGAGGAAAAGAATCTCTACTCTGGGAATTGGTGAGGGACCATATGTTTATGGGGTTTGAAACGAGTCATGGTTTGAATCCATGGTTCACTTTGAGGGCACTCAAATGGATATGAAATAAACAGAGGACTTATGTGCATGCATATGGGCCTAGCCAGTGGCCATGGACAACAGGGGGTGGGGGTGTATGTGGGGAGGGGTTTTGGATGGGAATGGGGGAATGAGGACAATTATGTGATACCATAATCAATAAAATTATAAACAAATAAATAAACAAATAAAAAAACTCGCTCAAACAGCTGGATCTATACTTGAAGAGTTGCTGGCATTTGGCTATTTGTTAAACTGTTCTGAATACTAATGGTGGTGAAAGCCATGAGGTCCAAGTTTTCTTAATCCCTTCTTCAAAACAGTACTCATGGCCAATCCTTCATTTCGATTCCCCTGGTCACCCAGCCTTGTTGACCTAGAGAAGACTAATCATGGCACCCAGTCCCCTGACCAGCCAGATACATGCTCAAACTTTTTATTAAAAAAGAGTCATCAAAATGTGGAGACTTCTGAACAAGTGGGTTTACTGTAAAGCTACAGAGGTTTAAACTTCAGAGCCCTTTACTGGGACAGCCTCCTGGGAGTGAAGGGCATGCTGGGAATTGTAGTGTCTTGGAGAGGGAATGAAGCCAGGTTACAATCATGAGCATTCCTATGCATTTCTGGCAAATTGCTTAGAGAGTTCAGAGAACAGAGACCTCTTCGAGGCTCTAATAATTTGGTGAGATTTTGTTTCTCATTCTAAATAATTATATTATTTATATATGTAATGTTATATTCATATTTCTTTACTCTTTTCCTTAAAGAACGCCTCTCAAATTATGTGAATGGGAGGGTACTGTTCCAGAGCAGAGATATATGTATACAGCAATTCCTTATTTAACATCTTCAATAGGTTCTGAGCCCTTAAGATAAACGATGTATAACAAAACCAGTTTTACTATAGGCTAATGGATATTAATAAGAGTTAAATTCCTAGGCATCTCACCAATGTTGTTATAACAAAATGAAGCTGAAAGAAACAATGCTCTTCCAGGACCTGCTGTAGCACTCTTTGAAATCTCCTCCAGAATATGCCCCATGGCCACTTATACTCCTCATAACCCTCCTTATCACAAGCACCCTGGATTCCATCCTCCTCACCTCCTCACCACTCCTTCCTTGTTACTCACCCTTTCTGCCTTGGAATGCCCATTTGGATCAGCCAAAAACCAATCCTTGAGGCCCTGCTAACAACAC